GTTCAGTTTAAACTTCTCAAATAATAGACAAACTTAGTTCAAATCCAGTCCCTGCCTCTTGGAAGTTTGGTTTTGGAGTTGTAATGTTTTTCATTTTCATTTTCTATAAAAGGGACAAAAGATTTTCCTTGCATGGTTATTAGGATGGAGCAAGGAATGGAATACGACCTCTGCCAGGGTAGCTATCCAGAAGATTACATAACACAGTAGGAAGAATCCAAGTTTTAGTGCCAGAGAGACCTGGGATCAAGTCCTGGTTTTGCACATACTGTCTGTGTGACCTCAGACAAGGCTTCTGTGAATCTCTTAAAGCAAAATCAGATTAGTACTTTACATGATTCTTTTAACTATTAGAAACACTAGCACAGAATATTGTTGGTGTTATGTGCCGTTGAGTTGGTTCCAACTCATAGTGACCCTATATAGCGTTTCCTAGGAGCAGCTGGTGGCTTTGAACTGCTGACCTTGTGGTTTACTGTCTAGTGCTGATCCTATAGTGCCTCACCAGGAGTCCTGACACAGAACAGAATGCATAATATATATTATGTATAATTTGAAGCCATCGAATCAGCACTGGACTGCTAACTGCAAGGTTGGTGGTTCAAACCCACCAGCCACTCCTCAGAAACACTATACTGGGTAGCTATGAGTGGTAACGGACTCCATGGCACTTAACAACAACAACATTATAATGTTGTTAAGTGCCTTCAAGTCAGTTCTGACTGATAGCAACCCTGTGTAGGGTTTCCTAGGATCTGATGGTGAGTTTGAACCATTGACCTTGTGGTTCAAACCAACCTTGAGGTCCAGTGCTTATCCTGTGGCACCACACCAGGACTTAAACAACATAATAATATACTATAAAACACTGACCATTTAGAGGCATTGTGGTACTGTAGACAAGTACTGGACAGGTAACTTCAAGGTTGGCCGTTCAAAGCACCAGCTGTTCCTCAGAAGCCCTACACAGAGTCACTATGAGTTGGAACCTACTCGATGGCACAAATAACAGCAACAAATAGGAATGGCTGTTACTTACTAATATTTATAATACATTAGACCATCCAGGTATCTTTCCAGTATTATCTCCCTCTACTCCTGGTATAAGGAACTCTAGTAGCATAGTGGTTATGAATCGGGCTATGAACCTCAAGGTCAGCAGTTCGAAACTACCAGCTGTTCTGTGGGAGAAAGATAAGGCTTTCTACTCCCATAAAGATTTGCAGCCTCAGAAACCCTGTACAGGGTCACCATAAGTCGGAACCCACTCTACGGCACATAGCCACCACCACCACCACTCCTGGAATGATGCTGTAGTATCAGCATTGGACTGCGAGCCACAAGGTCAGCAGTTCAAAGCCACCAGCTGCTCCTCAGAAACCCTATACAGGGTCGCTGTGGGTCAGAATCAACTCGATGGCACTTAACAACATCTGTTTGGAGAGTGAGGCCTTCCTCAAATGCATTTCTCTAGCGTCCTTTTGCAGCAACTCACTCACTCCCACTCCCAGGCAGAAACAGTCATTTCTTCATCACTTTCCCGTCTTCCTTTCTACAGAAGCTCAAGTAGAGCACGTATCACATTATGCTGGAGTTTTTTGTTTTCTCTTTTTCCAGCCCATGGCATTTTGTTCTTGTATTCCCAGCTTCTGGTACAGCGCTGGCATATGGATGTTGTTGTTAAGTGCCATTGAGTCACTTCCAACCCATAGTGACCCTGTATAGGATTTCCAAGGAGCGGCTGGTGAGCTTGAACTGCCGACTTTGCAGTTCAAACTGACCTTACAGTCCAGCACATTAGCACATAGTGCCGCACCAGGACTCTGGGCATAAATATATGTAGTAAGGTCCTTATTTCATTGAGAAGACATATATTGGAGTCCTGGTGTGGAGCTGCAGGACATATATTGAATAAACACTTGTCAGTCTAAGCAAGATTATGAAAGAACTTGAATGCAAAGGAGTTCAACTTCATTCTGAGCTTGATGAGGAGCCATGGAAGATTTGTAAGCAGGAACGTAATATGACCCTGTTGTAGATTCTTCCAGTATCACTCATGCACTGTGTCTAGCTTGATGTGTGAGGGCAAGGGAATCTAACTGGGTGTGCTAACCTTACTCTTCTCTGACCCTCTGCCCTTCTCAGTGTCTGTCTCCCTGTCCCCTCACTTAACTGTTTCCACTGAGTTTACTGTGTCATCTACTCCACAGGAGTATAAGCCTTCTGTTTCTTTTGTGTCGGCAACATTTCCTCACTTGTGCCTTCCTCCTCCCATACACATACCTACCACAGAACAGAGCACACTGTAGGTTAGGTATTTCAATGGATAGTTGTTCAGTTGAAATTGAATAAAATTCACTGGGAATGTAAAATGTAGCACAAAAAACAAAATCATACAACAAAATCCCTAGAGGGAATTATCTACATAATTCTGGCCCAGCTTAGAAATCAGGAGTAAATTCGATGAGTCTACCAAATTCAGGTATTTTCCAAGTCAGAAATTTCCTGCCATTGGGTTGCATAATCAAGAATAGAGATGAGGTGAGTACTAAAAGCTGACCAACTTCCAACCATTCATATTGAGCTGCCCCCAGGTTACAGAGTGAATGAGAGCATTCCTGAATGGCTCCCATTAGAATAATAACTCATCCTGGCAGCTGGCCCCTCTCAAGCCAGAGCCATTGTCACTTCTAGTAGCAAGACCTGACTTTAGCATCAAGTTTGGATTTTGGGCTAACCCAGAATGGGTTTATAGCAGATACTATGATGTGCTCCGGTAGCGTAGTGGTTACGGGTCAAGCTGCTAACCTCAAGGTTGGCAGTTCGAAACTACCAAGCTGTTCCGCAGGAGAAAAGATGAGGCTTTCTGCTCCTGTAAAAATTTACAGCCTCAGAAACCCTGTACAGGGTCACTATGAGTTGGAACCAACTTCACAGCACGTAACCACCACCACTATGATGTTTTAATATAAAACCATACTCTTTAAGCCCTGAACTTCTTTGTCCCTACTTGCCCTTTAACTCTCAGAGCCAAGCTTGATATGCCAGGAAAAAGGAAGTGGGACGGCCACTATGAATTGTTTCTGTTGGCATGGAAATGAGGAAGTGGGATGGTTTTCTCCATAGGCACAGATTTAACAGATTCTCTTGTAAGTACCCTTTGGGATGGGAACTGGCAGGCAGATTTATTTATCTATCTATCTATCTATCTCCCTTGCTTTTTCTGTTGTTGGGAAGATTTTGCCAATGGAAAGCAACACAGCCCTGGATGTTGCAAGTTTTAAATCAACTTTATTGAGAAATTTACATACAATAAAATGCAGACATTTTAAGTGTATAGTTTGAGTTTTAACAAATGTCTCTACCCATGTAACAGATCATCCTAGCCAACATAAAGAGTATTTCTGTCACCCTAGAAAGTTCTCTGATGTCCCTACAGTGGAAACCTATCCCCTCCCTCCACCATGCAAACCAGCCTCTTTTTCCTTTTACTGTAGATTTCTGTTCTGGAATTTCATACAAATGGAATCATGCAATATATACTCTGTGTCTGTACTAGTCAGTTTCTGCCAGCACTTTACTAAGTCTCTGCCCCATTGCCAACTTACAACACTACTCCATTGCCCCCCACACCCCTACACACATACTCTCCTTCCCCTTCCTTAGTTTCCCCATGAGGAAGGTGTGGCTCCCCAAGCTCAGTTACTACGTTAATGTGGACTTCTGCCATCCAACATTTCTAAAGAAAAAAGATTTAGAATGTAAAAGGGGCAGCAAATTAAATGCCATTTCCCCCACTTATGCTCCTGGAGGAGTTCTAATGGCTCTAGGTCATTCCCTCACTGCCACCTGGGGCCTCATTTAGTTAATAGGATTTGCAAGGAAAGTACTGGGGAGGCACAAATACCCACTCCCATCCATTAAGTCAGAGCTGAGATTTCCTCTCCAAATCCTAAATGCATTAGTGGCAACTGGCTTGAGGGTCAAATGTCAAATACTCTGCTGCTAGGGGAGAGGACATCTGTGGCTAATCAGAGCACTAATTGGCTAAGCTGGGATGGGGAAGGGCAGGGTTCACACACTCAGCTCTGCATCAGTGGGAACCCAGTTCCTTGTCCAGGATCTAGTTCCTTGAAGGAGGGGATGAAAGACAGTGAGAAGATTTGCTTGCAGTAGGGGGCAAGACATGCCTCCCCAACTCCCCCAGGTCAGCATAAAGCAGGACATGAGCATTGGGAAATGAGGAGAGTCAGAATGAGCCAGTGTTCATATGTCTGTCTCTTCTCCCACTTCTAATTTAATCCTTTACTTTGGAGATGAGATTCACACACCCACGCAGACCCATTCAGCTATTTTCCTGTCCTAAGCTGATTTCTTAAGCGACCTGCAATTTGTATACAGATAGTCAAAGTCATCAAACATTTATTCATTCATCCATTTATTACTGCATTTAATAATTTATTACTTTCCATATGCAAGTCATGGTACCAAGTACTGTTGTTGTTAAGTGTTGTCAAGTCAGTTATGACGCATGGTGACCCTATATAGGGTTTCCAAGGAGCAGCCGGTTTGAACTGCTAAACTAATCTTTATGGGATGGGTAACCCACTACATTACCTGGTTTATCTTATAGTTTCACAGGGTTTATTAACATTAATTACAACATGAGGGAGGTTGTGATGTGGCTGAAAGATGGATACAAATAATGCTTCAGAAACTCCCAGAACAGAAAGAACACTTATGGTCTAGAGAATCTTGTAAGACTTCATAGATTTCATAGATGAGGTACCTTCTGAATTGGACCTTCTCAGGAGGAGGAATTGAAACAGGTGGAGATGAGGTTGGGGACTGACTTAACAGAGATGAGCAGAAATAAAGACAAGGAGGGAATTACAGGTGTGTTTATGGTGAGATGTTGGCATCTATATTGTATCCCTCTGGAAAACCCTTGGAGCCATGGAGCCTCAGGGTGAGAACCTTACTTTCCTCTTTCTTTGCAGATCAATGAACTAAGCAATGTCCCTGTCCCTGTCATGCTAATGCCAGATGACTTCAAAGCCTACAGCAAGATCAAAGTGGACAATCATCTCTTCAATAAGTAAGTGACCTGCTGAGTGGACTAGGTTTTATGGGTAGTCAAAGCTTCTGAAGAAGGGCTTCAAACCGGTTCATTCATTCCAGTTTGACCCCTTTTTGCCTTTCCACCACTGATACAATGAATTAGAGTCTATATGTTAACAAGATCCCCAGATGATTCTTACATATAAAAAGAATGTAGATTTTGAATCCGTGTATCTAGGGTGCACAGTAAATTCTCAACAGGGATTCGAACCAGGATGAGCTGACACCTCATCCATGATGGGGGCCAAGCCAGCACCTGGCAGGGTGTGACAGCAGCTCATGGATCACAGAGCTGACAACTAGCTGGGAGGATGCATTCATTATGTGCCTCTGTCCTTTTGCCTTTATCAGCCTACCTTCTGTGTCCCTTGGGGCATGTGGGTTGGCCCAGGGTGGTTCATGTAGGGCCAGCTCAGGTAGAAATGAGCTGCCCAGGAGCTGAGGTTTCTAGTATGAGACTGGCAGTAGTGGTCCTATCTCAAGATCAGTCTGAGGTAGGAGACTTCCAGGCATGTTCCTAGCTTGGGATGCAGCCAAGCTGTTATTACTCTCCAGAGTAACTTGTCCCATTTGGGGTCTTTGTGGCTTCTTGGATTAACACAGGTGTCTGAAAGTTGTCTCAGATTTTGTTGGAGATGCTCAAATGGCACAGTTGGGGCCTGCTCTAGACCCTTTGGAGGCCTTGTTGTGAGTCACCCCAGGAACCACTTGCTGGCTACTCCACTTTCCTCCCGCAGCATTTGAATCCTGGTTGCATTTGCCATTGTACTGTCATCCCTGTCATTCACCCCACCATCCCAGGCTATCAGCCTAGAAAAGCTTGATTTGAGAGCATCCTTAAGTGGCCTCTCTCAGCCATGATAAGTAGTTTACATCTTGCTCTAGAAACTGCCACCTGTTTAACTGGCCACCTATGGAAGGAAAGGCAGTCCTTGACTTGGAAGCAGGAAAAGGTGTGGTTCTGTCCCAGAGGGGAGGACTCCAAAACTGGGGTTGTGCCACTTCCCAGTGCAGGACTCCAAACTGGTCTCTGGTGAAGTTCCTGCACCTTCACAGGGTAGCCTGAAGCAGAAACGAAGCCTCACATTTTCTTTTCTTTTGTCCTTCCAAAAAATGTTTGTGTGCTATTGATTAGAATGTAGTACTCTTTACAAGAGGACAGGGTAACTAAGACCCACTAGACCCCCACCTTCAGGAGAGACTGGTGTTCTTTTTATTATTATTATTCCTTTGAAGTCTGTCACCCTGGGGCCATAGAGACTTAGTTCTGAATGGGAGTCCCTAAACAGGGTGGCAGTTATGAAGATGGGAGAGCCATCATTTCAAGGTGACTCTTTCTTAGGAATCGGTGGATTGGTTAAGGAGATAGAAGGGTAGAGATGGATGCCAACAGTCAGTAAACAAGGCTTTGTGAAAAGATGGGATCCCTGTCAATTGACTGAGGACTCTTGAGTCTAGAACAACCTCTTCCTACATCGCAGTGGAAGCCGAGTGCAGGGCTTTCAGTGTGAACAGCCCTTGGGGATGAGAGGGCTCTTTGATGAGAAAAGTCTTGTCTGTTAGCCTCAGGCTGATGTTCATAGGCAGCCTCCACTAGTGGCAAGTTCTAGTGCTGTGGGTGGGGGCCTCCATTCGGTTTCCCTTCTAGCAAGTCCGACTTTTTTTTTCTTTAAGTTTTATTGAAGGTCAACATACACACATAAAAAAGTACATAAATTGTAAGAATACAGCTAAGATAATTTTACAATGTGAACACACACTGCATAAACCAGTTGTCATGGGGTTGGTTCCAATTCATGAACTACACTCATGAGGGTTTTCAGTGGCAGTGGCTTTTTGAAAGTAGATTGCCAGACCTTTCTCCCGAGGATTCAGACCACCAACTTTGCAGTCAGTAGTTAATCACTGAAACAATTTGTGCCACCTAGGGACTCTAGAGTGAACACAGTGAGTGTACAGCTTTAAAACTTCCCATGCCTCAGCAGCTCCAGGAATGCTTATTTAAAATGCAGATTCCCAGAGCCACCTCCAGAAATTTTGGGGCCCAAGAACCTACAATGCAGGCTGTTTAGGTCCAGGTGATGTGTGGCCCAGATTCTGAGATACTCTGATGTGTGAATAAGGGTGAGCAAGGGTAAGTTTACAAAAATGTTTCTCTGCTTTTCCCTAGGGAGAACCTCCCCAGTCGCTTCAAGTTTAAGGAGTACTGTCCCATGGTGTTCCGAAATCTCCGGGAGAGGTTTGGGATTGATGATCAGGATTACCAGGTAGGTATGGGTGTCTTTGTAAAATTGGAGGGACTAGGGAGTGGGATAGGGCCAGGAAGTCACAGGACAAGTACAAAAAGATGCATTTGCTGGGAAGAAGAGTAGCGGGAGGGAGAGGGGTCTGCGGGAGCCACTTCAGTTTAGTCTAACATTCCCAGTCTAGGCTGAAGAACCCTTCTCCTTCATAGTTTGACTTAAAAACGAGAGAGTTGTTGCCAGCAAGCAATGAGGCTTCTTAAAGCAGATAAGACAGATTAGAAAAGGAAGACTTCAAAGGTAGTGTAACCTCTTGCCAGGTGTGAGTGTCATCTCCTGAACTTGTCCCCTTTCTGGTGGTGGGAGGTGGACGAGTCATGACAGGGCAGCTTTCCCCCTACAGGGAGTGATACTGTTAAAGACTCTGGGTCAGTAGAGCCAGAAGCCATTGGTTTATTGGGTGGAATCAATCCCAATTTCAAGGAAATTCCAGTCTGACTCATAGTTCATGGTTTCTGTTACTTCTCAACCTAGCACCTCTCGGACTTTCTTCCTCTGGCACATAGCCTGGTGAAGGTGGGAGAACTTTCTACTTCAACTTTATTGTTGTTGTTATGTGCCGTGGAATCGGTTCTGACTCATAGCGACACAGGGTCTCCGAGGCTGTAAATCTTTACGGGAGCAGAAAGCCTCATCTTTTTCCCGCAGAACAGCTGGTAGTTTCGAACTGCTGACCTGCGGTTCGCAGCCCGATTTGTAACCACTACGCTATCAGAGCTCCTTAACTTTATAGCAGTAAGAAATAAAGCTGACTTTCAATTGCCTGTGGGAAAAACTAACTACTCAGCCTAATGAAATCTAAAATTGATGCCCAGCTCTTTTTTAAATACTGTAATTCCTCCAACCCCATTCCCAGTAAGACTTTGACAGTCATTCACAAGAAGCAAGGTGTGGGTTAAAAGTTTCCTTCCCTTCTCACCATACTGCAAAGGTATTGGTCCTTATCCTGAAGATGGGGTCTGAGGAGAGGATGAGATGCCAGAGGCTTGAACGTTTAAGAATGTCTGTGTATAAGAGGTATTGGGAGGTGCTTTCAGTTCCCGATGTAGGATCGAACCTAACCAGACCATGACCTGATTGGAGCCTGATTGGAGGTTTTCTGAAGACTTCTTGCCATTGTATCAACCCTAAATTACATGGATATCTTCCCTCCTCTGGCTCTCTCCCCTCTGCTTGCCTATTTACACATCTTGTCAGTTTCTGCATTCTGCTTCTAATTACCTGTGAGCAGCTGACTATACTCAGTTCTTAAATGAGGGCAGGGAGGATGGTGTTCAGCGAAGGTATGCTATGCTCTTGAAGTATATGTAAGCAGTGAGGTGAGGAGAGACCTATACTTTCCTACTGGACTTTTGACTGTTTTGAGTGCAAGTCTTGCTGGCAGAAGGACCAGGCTGGGGATGAGAGATGCCCAGTTGCATCGCCTTCTCAACATTCCGTTGGGAGACTACTCTGGGGAAGTGGGTGTGCTCCTTTAATGTAGTGCTTTTATGAGGAACTCCCAGGACCATTCCCTACTTAAGACGTTAGTTTCCCCTGGGAAGGTGGTGCTTTATCCTCCACCAGGTTTTTGTGAGGAGACGTTAGGTGAAGGTTTTAGAAAGAGCAGAATCCTAAGGAAACAATGAGAAGATGGCTTGGGGAGGAAGCAGTTCTATGAGCAGATCCATGTGCGTTTTCTTGGGAGGAGGAACATCTGGGATCTCTCCTCTTGCCTTGCCTCCCAGAGGTCTCCTCCTGACACTTGCTTGATGAACACATCCCTTTGGTTTACTCACATGTCCCCACCCTCCCTTTTGAGGCTTCTGCTGCTCTCTGATTCCAATGGGAATGGGGCCTGGAGGAGGAGGAGCAGGAACAGAATCAGAAAAGCTCCCCCAAGTTCCCTCATAACGCTGTGCAGACATGGCCAAGGCTGAGGTGAGGGAAGAGTGTCTGCTAAGAGATGAGCCGCAACTCCCCTCTTTGGGAAGAACTTCCCAGTATCAGCCTACACTGGGAAAAGACATGTCTGTGTCTGTTGCTCCTCTTAGGCTAGACCTCTTAAATATTTCCTGAGCTTCATCTTTGTTACCCACCTCCTGTGTTCCATGTGAAAGTCAGGAGTAGAACCTAGTCCTCTAACGTCTCTGCAGGGCAGCTCTTTGGCTTTACAGCCCAGGCTCGGATTAGGAGCGTGTGATAAGGAATGGATCTTGCCTCTATTGAGCAAGACTTTGGGGAGGAATGTGAACTCCCATGAGTGAGAAAGGGGTGGATAAGGTATTTGTCTATCTGAGAGTCCCTTGATCTCAGTCCTGTCACCTCTAAAGCAGCCTGCCCATAAGACTCAGAGTGAGTCAACACTCTTGTTCCTTTCCCATAACCAGCCTGCTTTTGTCTTGCTCTCTCAGAATTCAGTGACTCGCAGTGCTCCCATCAACAGTGACAGCCAGGGCCGATGTGGCACGCGTTTCCTCACCACCTATGACCGGCGCTTTGTCATCAAGACTGTGTCAAGTGAGGATGTGGCTGAGATGCACAACATCCTAAAGAAATACCACCAGGTATGGTGAGTCCCAAGCCTGGGCAGTAGAGAGGATGGGCTGGAGAAGGGAGAAGAGAGCTCCAGGTGGGACTTCTTAGAAGGAATTTGCTTTCTCTGGTAATGGCAGATGCTTCTTGATGCCCAAGCAGTTGTTCTTCCCCTGACACCTTATTTGCAGGAGGTGAAATGCCTATTTTTTTTTTTTAAAAAAAAGGAGAAATGAAAGCATTTTGCTGACTCAGTCCCAGCTGAACAGTTAGTTCCTTGTCAGAGTTGGGATGTTTCACACTCTGGCATCTGTTCATTCGTTCTAAAGAAGGTCCCCCTTGACCTGCTTGCTTCTTTTCCGGTTTCTTCTCTTGACTCCACTGGAACCTGCCTATGAGGAAAGCAGGCAGAGGTATGGCACCATCTGAATGCCTGTCCTCAGCCTGATGTGGGTTTCCAGAGAAAGCTGGCTCATTTCTGAGGCACCTGAGAAGTGGTGAGGGAACTTTTGGTCTCCTAGGAATTCCTGCAGAAAGCCTTGGGGCATGGTGTGGGGGTGAGCATTTGATATGGAGACATTCTGTTTTTCCAGACAGTGGACCACAATATGGCCCCTCCATCCCCTTGCTACTGTTGGCTTGCCCATCTCAGGCCAGCAGGAAAAAGCAAGGTTGGGATAAATTGTTTTTCCTGTGGTCAAATCTTATTTCAAACAGAGTCAAAGATGGGATCCCAATAATATGAAACCAAAAGCACCCTGTACTACCTGCTCAATTGCTTCTCACTCTGCCATGCCAACTGGGGACAAATGGGGTGGCTCTTAACTGTTGTATCTCTGAGGTACCCCTGGATCTTAGGCTGGATTCTCTAGAGGAGCATAACCAGGGAATTGTGAAGGCTGACAAGTCCCAAATTCATGGGTCAGGCATCAGACTGGAGGCTTCTCTTACTCATGTGGTTGCAGGGATTGGCAAACCCAAATGTGCAGGTCAGGTGCCAGGCTGCTGGCTCATGTGTCAAGAATCGGAAGTCAGACGATTATGAGTCAATTCCAAGATTGACAGCAAGGGATCTTTGCCAGAACATCCAAGATGCACGCCACGCCCCCAAGGAATCACCTCTGACATCAGATCACAGAATGGAAGATAATTACATAATAGTTAGTGTCATAGCGTAGCCAAGTTGACTCATAACTCTAACCATCACACCCTATTATGCCACAGAACCCACTCTGAAAACTTTTAGTCTAGAAGTTAGCATTTCAGGGAGTTTGGGAGTCTTGTAGGCTGGGAAGAGGCCATCCATCTCAGGCATCTGCATATGTTCCTTATCCTTCCCTCTTCTCCTCCCTTCCATTCTAGTTTATAGTGGAGTGTCATGGCAACACCCTTCTGCCACAGTTCCTGGGCATGTACCGCCTGACCGTGGATGGTGTGGAAACCTACATGGTGGTCACGAGGAACGTGTTCAGCCATCGGCTTAATGTACACCGCAAATACGACCTCAAGGTAAAGGCCCTGTGTCTCCCAGATCTGAGGCGGCTCTCCCATACAACTGGGAGAGCCAGAGCACATGTTTTGGAATGGACCAGTGACTCAAGTTGATAGACCTATTTCCTGTGGACCAAAGGCTGTTTGAAGTCCAGCTGACAGTGACAAGAGGTGATTTAAACCCTAAATGTACGTATTTACATAACAATTGATGCTCCTTAACTCCTTCCTGTGGCAGCAGTATGAGAACACCACGCTGGCATCTGCCCAGGTTCCCGTCAACTGACAGCACAAGTGTGTTTCTGGGCACCAAGAAGGACACACTTGTGACTGAACCACAGCACCCCACTGCCCTTGAACTAAAGCCCTGGCTGCTGGATTGTTGCTGCAGCGGGGCTTTCCTGACCATTCCTGCAGAGCCCGTGGTGTGCTGCTACTCCCCAGGAGTTTCACACATGCTGTTTTATTGTTGGGGATGTTTTCTCTCCAGGCTACCTTTCCCACCTGCACCTTCTGTCCTGTAATTACTTCCTACTTTTACCCTTCTGAGTTCCGGAAGTAGTCCCTGGCCACTGCCCTTCCCCAGTGCAGACCAGGTCCACGTGTTGTCTACACTCAGGCGGCCTTGGTTCTCCAGTGCTGCTACAACAGATGTATCATGAGGGGTGGCTGTGGCGAACAGAAATGCTTTTTCTCACAGTGTGTAGGAGGCTAGAAATCCGAATTCAGGGCAGCTGTTCTGGGAGAAGGTCCCTATCTCTTTTCAGTTTCTGCTCCTTGGCATGATCTTCCTCTCCAAGTGTGCTTGCTTGCTTCTGTGTCTAATCTGCTCCTTTTGTAGTTCAAAAGTGATTGGCTTAAGATCAACCCAACACCAATATCCCCTCATTAAGAAGCTCTGGTAGCGTAGTGGTTATGAATCGGGCTGTGAGCCGCAAGGTCAGCAGTTCGAAACTACCAGCGGTTCCGCGGGAGAAAGATGAGGCTTTCTGCTCCCGTAAAGATTTACAGCCTCGGAAACTCTGCACAGGGTCACTATGAGTCGGTTCCGACTCCACGGCATGTAACAACTACAACATAAACAAAATCCTATTCTCAAAGGGGTCTACACTCACATGTGTAGGGGTTAGGGTTCCAACACATATTTTGGGGAGACACAAACACAGGGTGCTCTGTCTTCTCCCTTATGTCACCAGTTGCCATCAAGTCGATTCTGACTTACAGCAACAGGTTTATGCCAGAGGAGAAATGTCCTCCGTAGAGTTTTCAGTGGCTGATTTTTCAGGAGATTGCTAGGTCTTTCTTCCAAGGTACTTCTCGGTGGACTTGAGTCACAAAGCTTTTGGTTAGCAAGTGAGCACAGTAACCTTTGGCACCACCCAGGGCCACCCTTGTAATGTTTAGCACTATTGCGGTGAATGAATTGTGAGACTACAGCCTACTGTCTGCCTTCCCTGTTAGAAGGAGGAATGTTCTCCAAGGACAGGGACTGAGTTTCTCTGGGACACTCTTGTTTCCTGAGCACCTAATGTGAGTCTTGTACAGAGTAGTGACTGTGTGCCATGAAGTCGGTTTCGACTCATAGCGACCCTGTACAGGGTTTCCGAGGCTGTAAATCTTTACGGGAGCAGAACATCTCATCTTTCTCCCACAGAACAGCTTGTAGTTTTGAACTGCTGACCTTGTGGTTCGCAGCCCAATTCGTAACCACTACGCTGTACAGAGTTAGAGCTCTCTAAAGGCTTTGCGACTGAGTAATCAATGAACAAATTACTGCTCCTGGCCCCTCTAGGAATCTCCTCCAGGACTGGTGCGTACCATCTCAACAGTGGAATTTACTTTAGCTGTACTTCTTCTAGGAGTTCTGGTGATGCAGTGGAGAAGTACTTGGCTACTAACTGAAAGTCAGCGGTCTGAACCCACTCACCACGCTGTGGGAGAAAGATGTAGCAGTCTGTTTCCATAAAGACTGCCATCTGGGACCCACTATGGGCCAGTTCTCCTCTGGCTTTGAGGGTCACTGGGAGTTGGCATGGACTTGACAGCTGGGTTTCTGATGACTCTTTTTCTTTCAGGGCTCTACTGTTGCCAGAGAAGCAAGTGACAAAGAGAAGGTACGCTGGGACCTCTGCTTAGACCCCAACACCTTCTCCAGGCCAGCCTGTCCCTTCTCTGAGATCCTAGCCCCACTCCCCCAGATATGTGACCTGTCAACATGAAATCCTCTGTTCCCTACCACCCTCCTATCTGCGTCCCACATGGAGAGCTTGATCACTATTCTTTACCTTTACCTAGTCCTGAAGGTAGACAAGTCCCAATGTATAATCCATCTTGAATCAGTTGGTGGCTGCCTGAGTCCTGAATTGATCCAGACTCAGCAGGAAAGAAGGCATTGGTCAGTCTGTATCATCTGGTAGAGGCCACATACTTGCCTTCCGTGCCTGCTCAGAGCTTAGGCCTGTAGCTTTCTGTGCTCCCAGCAGAGGACTCCCTGGGGTGAATGAGCCAGACTCAGCCTAATGCTCCTGTTTCTCTTCCAGGCCAAGGACTTGCCAACATTCAAAGACAATGACTTCCTCAATGAAGGGCAGAAGCTACATGTGGGGGAGGAAAGTAAAAAGAACTTCCTAGAAAAGCTGAAAAGGGACGTCGAGGTACTAAGCCTTGTGTTCATCTTGGTTGGGCAGGATCCCCTCTTATACAGAGCTGGGGTCTCTTTAACATTTAGAAAAATTGAATTCACTACTTCAAAGGCATCTCTGAGTGGACTTGAACCTGCAACCTTTCAGTTATCAGTAGTTATATGCTGAGCATAGCAGTCATGTGCCCCACCCAGGGACTAGCTTGTAATGCTTAGCACGTTATAGTGAATGAATGGTATAACTACAGCTCCATGTCTGCCTTCCCTGTTAAGAGAAGGAAAGTTCCTCAAGGACACTGTTGTGTCCTAGGAGTGTGTACAGAAGGAAAGGTTGTGTCCTGCGTTGTATGTGTACTTATGGCCCAGGACCAGGCAATGCTTTGTTCTGTTGTCTTAGGGTCACTGTGATTCTCAAGACCAACTCAACAGCATCTACCAACACAGCAACAACAAAGTCAGTGCTAATGAGCATCCCAGTTTGGGGACACAGTGCCCGTAGAACCTTTGTAGCTCAATTTGGGAAACTTGCCCTGTGCTTCTTTACTAATCCATCCCCAAATCTTCAGACACACCTTCTAATTCATATTCTACTGTTGCCCCTACAATGGAGGGGGGGCATCAGAGCAGCAGAACATTGACCATTAAGACCAGCTAACCAGACCTTTCTCTGGCTCGGACTCTTTTCTTCCCCAGCAGTCTTCTGATCCTACTGAGACTTGCTAAGAAGTTCCTCCATGGGGAACAGCTGCTAAACAGGTAGTAGTTTATCTGGATCATCTGATAACTCAGTGTCTCCTTCTGTTTTAAGAAACCGGGAGCCTGTTCATTACCAGCAAACTCTCCAGACTTCTTTTTGCTAGGATGCTTTTCCTTAGTCGCACCTACCTGGGTTCTTAACTGTATTCTGTCTGCCGTGCTCTGGCAAACAGTCTGTCCCAAGGTGTCTCCATTTCTGAGAAGAATTTACAACAGTTAAGCAAGTCCTTTGTATTCACTTGCATCCTATTTTGTAAATGCATCCTATTTTGTAAATGTTCTCAGGTGCAGAGAGGGAACTGTGGTGAATGCCCTCTCTCTTCTGGGCCTCCAGCCCAGCCCTTCCCAGTAGGCCTTGACAGAGCCTTGTCCAGAGGTGCTTAGAGTGGTGCCCCTCCCACCTCTCTCTGGCTGATCACCTGTCCTGAGGGATTGTGCTTTTCTGCTGTTTTCTCCACATAGAGCGGGGGTCCTTTTATCATCCTCCTCGTCCCCTAGCCACAGTGGTCAAGCTAACACTTTGCTGGTGCTGCAGGCTGTTTTGTGACCAGGGCTGAAATGCCTGACACCTGGCGGTGCTGGCTGGCTAATTCACAAGAGGTTTAGGCTTTATTAGTTAAACAGGCATGCAGGTTGACCATTTCAGTCCAATATCATTCCCACACTCTTTATTCTCCAAGTCATGGAATCCTAGGTGAAGGGACCCAAGACACCATGTACTCATAGATGAGCAAGCTGAGGCTCAACAGGGGGAGGTCACACAGTGCTTGGAGGGCCCAGTCTTCTCCCTTCTGTACCATGCTTTCATCTTCAGGGAAGGACTTGAGAATGTTGGTCGGTTCTGGCTGCCATTTTCATTTGGTCACAACTATCTACTTTTACCTCATATGATGCACTCTGATACCTTCTATTTTATTCTTCCTGTTTTATAATAAGTCCTAGCCCTCTCAGTTAGGTTTCGGACTCATAATGAGTTGAGATTTGTGTTTGAAGACGCAGCTGTGTTGCATCCATCTCTCTAGTCTCTTCTGCATATCACACTTCCTCAAACTCACCATGGCTTCTGCTGACTCCAGATCATTGGACTTGTCTCTCTTCCTCCCGCACTCTCTCTACCTAATTCCTGCAGCCTCTTCCTGACTAGCTCCTCCTCCTCCTCCTTAACTCCTCTACTCTCCCCGCTTGTTGCCCTTATTGAGTAACTTCCTCCCTCTTAGACACTGAGCTCATTGAGAGTATGAGGGTAGAGACCAATGTCTTCTTGGTTGTATCTCAGAACTGTTTGTAGAATTGCATGGAAAGGAATGCTCGTTCCCCCTTTCCAGATGCTTCTCAGCTTTCCCATGTAACTGCTGCTTTTCGTCTTTCCATCCCTCTCCACCACCGCTAGTTCCTAGCCCAGCTGAAGATTATGGACTACAGCCTGCTGGTGGGCATTCACGATGTGGACCGGGCTGAGCAGGAAGAGATGGAAGTGGAGGAGCGGGCAGAGGACGAGGAGTGTGAGAATGACGGGATGGGCGGCAACCCACTCTGCTCCTACGGCACTCCTCCAGACAGCCCTGGCAACCTCCTCAGCTTTGCCCGCTTCTTTGGCCCTGGGGAATTTGACCCCTCTGTTGATGTCTATGCTATGAAGAGCCATGAAAGTAAGTAGGAGCCTGAGCCTGCCCTGCTCACACCAGCTCTTATCCCACCCACTGCAGACCCTTTGTTGGAATGATGCCTGTAGGCAGTCTCCACTCCTATCGTGGTTGACATTGGCTTCTTTCTACCTCCAGTTTCCTCACTGGTCCCCACTAGTACCTCTTTCTTCTGGGGTTCCTTCCCTTCTTGCCTGTCTTAAATGAAAAAGGCTGGTACTTCCATGTTTTGTGGGATGGACAAAATATAAATGCTGTCATGTCAACCCCCATGGGGGCTATGACGATCAAATAAGATGGGAGTTGGGGAGGCTTCTGAGAAGGGCCCAGCTGCCGTTCCTTGTCTTAGATCCAGAGTCACAGGGATGCATCCAGATCTGATAGCTGCAAGGTTGTTGGCTGTGAGCCACACGAATCTGCTCTTCTCCCTGGAATCTTTCCCTCTCCTGCTTCCTCCCCCATCCAGGCGCCCCCAAGAAGGAGGTTTATTTCATGGCCATCATTGATATCCTCACGCCATATGATGCGAAGAAGAAAGCTGCACATGCTGCCAAAACCGTGAAACATGGGGTGAGTTTTCTTCGTTTCTACCCAGGACCCACTTGGGTAGTCACCCTCAGACCCTCAAAGAGAGTGGTCCAGGTCTCCTGCTCCGAGGAAACACTCTCCTCATCCCCTCCTTATCCCTCTCTTATCTGTGTTGCCTGTGTTTTCTACCATCTACACCCCATCCCTCCCTGCCAAGCCTGTGAGATGCCCAACTTGTTTTTCCCCCACTTCTCAGGCCCTTGAGGCTCTGCGCCTGCCAGCTCCTTTCCCCCAGGGTTGCTGGGCATGTTGTTGAGTGGCCAGTAATGGCTTTGTTTACATGCCCACACTGTTCCCCATAGGCTCATTTCCTCATGGACTTCAGTCTCCAGTTCTCCAAACAGAGGCCCCCACAGAGATCCAGAGCCTCCGCGGCCTCCCTACTTCCTCTCCCCCACTTCCATGGCTGCAGACCTGGGCTTGTGAATCACAGGCTAGTGAGGCCTGAGTGATTTTCAGACATGGGAATCACTTTCCTTGGTAGCCTGCCCATTCTGGAGAGTGGCCTTTGGTTCTGATGCCTATTTGTTGTTGAGTGCTGGCGAGTTGGTTCCGACCCATAGCAACCCTGTATAGAGTTTCTAAGGAGCGGCTGTTAAGCTTGAACTGCCGATCTTATGGTTCAAACTGACTGCAGCCCATGCATTAGCTCACAGTGCCACAACAGGACTGATGCCAATACTGGGTGGCCAATACCTAGGCTCCTACCAGATATCTTCTGATTGGGGCCAAGGAAATGGACCTGAATTGGGCTCTTGTGTGTTGCAGGCCGGGGCTGAGATCTCGACTGTGAACCCTGAGCAGTACTCCAAACGCTTCAACGAATTCATGTCCAACATCCTGACGTAGTTATCTTCTACCTGCAGCTGGAGCCAGAGAGCTGCATTTGGGGCTAGGGTTGGGGATTGGAAGATTTTGGGCTAGATGAGAGGGTGGGGAGCCAGAGTTGGGGAAGGGGAGGGCTTCAGCAATGGGGTGCAACCTGGGACACTGAAAGAGACACTCGAGCTGCAGGGAGGGGATGTGCTATTGTGTGCACATGCTCACAGGGTGTACCCTCACCTTCTGCTCATGTTTGACCCAGATTACAAGGTTCCCTTTTGTTTGTTAAGATGACAGCTTGGGGCTAGAGGTGGTTTCGGGGTTTACTTGGGTTTCGTTTCTGAAATGTTGTTGCTCCCAGTTTGCTATTTATAATGATGTATATCATCACCCTATACACCCTCCCCACTCCTGCTCAGCCCGCAGTTCCTGTCATTAAAGAGGTGCCCCACAGACTTGGTACCACGGGCCCTCCCAGAGCAAAGCTCTCTGACTCCAAGGAGGAGGCGAGGTCAGACACCTCAGCCCTGCTGCATTTGACCTTGTCTGGATACAGTTTTTAATTTTATGGGATATTGTGCACAACTTCCTCCATCTTTCCCCCTTGGATACAAGTGATATGTTACATTAGTCCTCCACCTAAATGCTGTGCTCCCGAAGGAACACTAGAGCAGCATCAAGCATCTTGGGTCAGAATCAAAGATCTCAAAGGGGAGCAAATTCAACCTCATGGAACAGTAAAGGATGGGGGCAGCTGTTGGGTTTTTGGACAGCTCATTCTCAGAGAACATCCATGATCAGCACCTAAGACCCTGGGTTCTCTCAGCTGCTTGAATTCAGATAAATCCTATTTCTAAAGTCAACCTCGCACTGGGTCAAGAGGAAGTGGAAAGCACCTTGGACGCAACAGGATGTTCCTGTTTCGATCTTATATTCCCTTGGGAAAGCCCCAGACACTGATGAGTATCAGTGAGGCCTGGGCCCTTCATCCACTTCCTCTGCCCAATTCCCAGGCACCCTCACTCACAGGTGAGTCTTTATCAGGGACAGATCTCTGAGCATCCAGAGTGCCCTTTGCAGAGATGCCTCTTCCAGCCCCAGCTGGTTTACAAAATATCAGAAGTCCTAAGGTCAGTCAGCATGGAGCAGTGCCCCTCTTCCTTGGGGAAGTGTGGCATCCACTACTGAAGTTGCTTCTGTGTCTCTTGAGGTAAGACCTAGGAAATCCAATTTGCAGGCTTGGTGTGGCTTTGACTTGGCCCCAGCCGGTCAGCAAGTCTGCTGTTCTTTGGCTGCCTCAGGAGGAATGGCAGCCTGCAGGTTCCTTCAGGGTTTCCACTCACCTGCAGCGCCGATGGCCCAAGCCCTCAGAATTGAGCTGCCTGTGGCATTCTGTGATATCAGAGCAATTGGCCTTGCCGGAAAAGAAAAAGACCCACTTGCTGTCTGTTGGGGGAGGTGCATTCTTGTATCTCTTGCCCCTCACCAGGAAATGGGGATCTGGAGAAAGATGTGATAAAGCTTGTAGATATCCTAAAGATGCGGAGATGGTTGTGAAATCATTTTGAGGGAACGGATTGTTTCCTGTGCCTCCCCACTGGCCAAGGTCAACTTCTGTGGAAGGAATCCGCTCTGTCTTTGTGCCCTATCTCTGGGAGCTGTCCCACAGCAATTAGGTCAGGAAGGAATGGAGGCAGCATTGTTGGACTCTACTGTGGCTGCTGGATGGGTTAGAATGCCTTCTGGAAGAGACAGATTGGGGTCAAACCACTGCTCTGGCCCTACCAAGGGCTACAAGAAGCTCTGACCATCTACATCAGGACCACTAAGTGACTTGGGGGAGGTACCTGGACCCAAGTGGATCATGGAGAAAACAAATTCAACTTACAAACGGCGGTGTTGTGTAGGAATACTCTTCAGACTTCATTTCCCCACCTCATAATCAAGAATGGAAATTGGGGGGCTGCTCCTGGTCAGGCTCAGTGTCTCCAAAGCTTGGGAAGCTGCTCCCAGCAGCCACCACAGCCTTGGGCTCCCATCTGGTTCTCTGCATTTGGCCTGCTAATCATGTTGCCATAATGTGTATGAAAAGTGTAACACAATCTTATCATGTAAGACAAACTACCAGGTATCTAATTTGTTTAACAACGAGTTTTTGTTTTTGTAGCTTTTTTTTTTTTTGTATATTGTTTACATTTTTCAGAGGTAGCGTTCTGTTTCAAATGCTGTTTTTGGTTTCCCGACAGTATTGTTGATTGGGTCGAAATGTTTGAGCTGTGGCTTAGTGAATTTTTTTTTTTTTTTAAGTCTTTACCTTTCATTCTGTTCTATCTTCAAAATCTTGGATTTGACCCTCTAATTCCTTTGGTATTCAAATATTCAAAAGATATTTGGGTTTATACAAGTTTTTTCTTTTTCTAATGTTAAAGATACTCTACTTGGTTTTCAGTCCGACTATCGAGAAAGTGAATTTATCCCCCAAGATTTTGTCTCCCCCATTCTTTTTTCCTTGGAGTCCTGGTGTGGCGCTGTTGGTTAATGCGCCAGACTGCAAAGCTGTTTGAACTGCAAGGTCAGCAGTTGAAGCTCACCAGTTGCTCCTCGGAAACCCTGTACAGGGTCGCTATGGGTCGGAACCGACTGGACAGCACTTAACAACAGCAACAATTCTTTTTTCCTTTAAGTGTCCCACCATTCTCTTCCTGTAATACACCCCTGAGGACAAGTGGGTCTCCCTGGGACCATGAAAAACTGCTGTCTTAACAGCATCCCAGAATCATTGTGGGGGTGGGGGCCATCCAAGAGCAAAGGTATAATAGGCACGACTGATTGGGTAAGGCCTGGGTGGGGTATGAGCAGGATTCCTCCCCCCTTTCCCATCACTCCGAAAGTCTACAGGTGAGAAAACTCACAGCCAAAGTGAGGTGTCCTCTGAAAAATCTACTTAGAAAATCACTAGCTGAAGGGCTCTGACCCTTTTTCATTTAACCTCAAGTCTTTGTTCCCCAGCTCATGATCCTTTTTTGTGCCTGCTGGTTTGGGGGTTACAGGGCATGCTGGGAAGCCAGCAGTTCCAGGAGCGCAGAGGGAAGCAGTGCTCAATCCCTCCTTACCTAGCTCAGGGGTTACTGGTCTGTGGCAGGTGCCACGAGTCACCCCTGTGGCTGTTCTCAGTGGCATTCTTTAGGTGCCCACCACAGGCAGCTCTTCCGCTCCCTCTTCCTACTTAACTTTTTTTCCTGTGCTTTAGGCCTCCAACAGGTCCTTGGTTGTGCTCAAGGAGGAGACTAGCCTCCTGCCCTAGTTACTTGTCCCTCTTCATAGCCTGCCAGGGCCTGCCTTGTGGAGGTGACCAAAGACCCAGGACTTTCTCAGTAGCCTATCCCACCTCCCCAGTGTCTTTTTACCAGTTCACGTTGGGCTGAGGGAAAAAGTTTGAGCACCTCCCGGCACCCTTCCCCCCAGCACTTGAGTCATTCATGTTGGGGGCTGGAAGGAGCTCTGGTGTTAGACCTATGGCTCCCCCCAAGGCTGGAGACCTCTCCTCTTTCTGGCAGTAATATGGGGATATGGGTCCGGCCTGAGCCCAGGATCAAAGGGAAAATAGTACTCAGACAACTGCCCACCCTCATCTTCCCCTGAGATTGACCACTTATGAAGAAGGCCTCCAAGGGGAGAGGAGACAACTAGGTTTCTCTCAAGGGCTGTGCTGAGATCCCAGGAAGGAGGCTTGGGAGGAGACTTCCTGAGGAAGCCGTTCTGTGAGGAGGTGGGAACCAACAACCTTTAGGGGGAGGCCCAGGACTGCTCAGCACACCCCAACAGCAGGTCAGATCATTGCAATCAAAAATGTGAATGAAGCTTAGATTCAACTTCTGGGGAAGCTGGATAAACAACCATCCCACCATATGTGTGTGACTTCTCAATTTCCCACTACAATTTCCATTTTTTAAATAGGAATTTTCAACCCTCTGTGCTTGTCAGTGTCTGCTCAGAACAGTTCAAGACCCTGTTACTGTTTTAAAATGCATGCATGTTAAGATGAATCTCCAACCTGAGAAAAAAATAAAACTCCAAAAGCTTTGTGTACATCTGGAATGTGTGAGTCCTTTGGAAAGGAAAGAGCCTTTGTTTTTTGAGAACAAGAGACCTTGGGTCCCAGTTTGCAGAGGTAGCATGGAGTACATGGCTTGAGTGCCCAGGAAGAATGTGGTCAGTGACATTTCACTCTCGGTTGCATTGGTTCAAAGTGTAGTACTGGAACCAGAACTGGTCTGCGTTGTTAGCTGTGGCTACTACAGGCTGAGGAATGGACAAAGTACTCTCTCCACTGCTCCGTCTGGAGAATGAATGAAGTCCCAGCGCTCCCATTGATTAGCCACATTACCATCTTTCTTCTGGTGGGGGTGGAGGTGGGGTCAGAAGTAGGGAGTGGGGCGGTGGGAAGGAGTTAGGGTTAGAACTCTGACTGGGTCTAAGGCTGTGTGGCACTGTGGGTTAATGTGCCAGACTGTAAAGCCATTTGAACTGCAAGATTGGTGGTTCAAGCTCACCAGCTACTCCTCAAAAGCCTTATACAGGGTCACTATGGGTCAGAACCGACTCAACGGCACTTAATACCTAGGACTTTATTTCATGTTAGGTTAGGACTAGGGTTAGTGTAAAGGTAAGGAACTGGGGCTGTAGTTAAGACGTGGTCTAGTTTTTAGGGTTATAGTTAGGTTTCTTTTTTTGTTTCTTGGAATCTACTTGATTTCTTCATTTGAATGTTCTTAATCTCTGGTTTTGTTTTTGTCTTTTTTGCTGTTATAACTATCTTTGGTGCTCAATTTTCAGTCTTGAAGGTCAGTTTCACTTTGTTGTTTGTTGCTGAGTTGGTTCCAACTCATACCGACCATGTATAGGGTTTTGAACCGCCAAACTTGAGGTTCATACCAACTTTGCAGTCCAGCGCACTAACCCACAGCACCACACCAGTGTTTCACTTTAAACCCTTCTGTATCTGGGTTGAGTCTAAGTAATACTGT